AACGTCCTAGAAATGAGCAAACAAAGCCAACCAGACCAAAACCAAACCAACAAGGTACAAAACAAAGCAGCTTTAGGGACAAAGGGGGGGGGGAAGACCAAAACCAAACCAACAAGGTACATAACAAAGCAGCTTTAGGGACAAAGGGGGGGAGGAATTCTGCAGGCCTCTGGTCACATCTCTCCAGGGTTCACCAAGGAAATTCAAGATGATATGATCAGAGAAATCACCCAACTGGAAAAGCAGAGGAACCATTTGCCAGGGACATTTTTACCAGCCTCACTTCATTATCTCCTGCAATCAAAGAGAAAAGCCTGTTTGATGAGGACATGGACTTCAGGAGGCAATTAGGGACACCAGGGGATGAATCTGGGAGCAGGAGGGTATTTCATGGTATCACTGAGTTGCCAGAAATCCCCCCAAATCCCTCATTATTTTCCTGAAGGAAACATTCAGCCCTGGTTTTAAAGAGCCCCAGGGTTTGACTGTGGGAACAGGCAGGGAGGGAAGGGTTAATGCTGGGATCTGGAAGGACCAGCCCAGATGGAAAGAGGCAAAAAGGAAGCGATGACTCAAACAAACCGTTGGTATTTAAAGATGCTGGAAGGAGTCTGAGCTGGAGGAGGGATTTATTTTTCCCTAGGGAACAGCTCTGGGAGGCCCCGGGATGGGGCTGGACTGGGAGGGCTGGGATGCAGCAGGAGGGATCTGGGAGCTGGAAAGGGATTTCCCCTCCTCTTCCTTTTCCACCCCCCTAAAACTCCTTTCACCGGGAACTAAAATCCTGCAAGCACGTGATAAACCCATTTCCTTCAGCCTTGGGGAAAAAAACAACCCTGTGGGCCAGAGAGGGGTGGGAACAGGGGGAAAAAAGGGATCACCCCATCCAGGAGGGATCAGCCCATCCAGGAGCTTTTTTACTGCCTGTCCCAAACTCTCCTGGGTGCAAAACCTCCCTGGAAGATCCATCCCAGCTTTTCCCCCCCCCTCTCCCCAGGAGCTGGAGGTGCCATTAAAATGCCCC